ATAACAAGTCAAATGATAACTCTCTGAGCGATTCAAACTCCGGGACTAACGTCAGTAAAGTGAGGAAAAATATCCGCGAGTTTGAGCGCCGATCCTCTATTTGTGGCGACACTATTGTCCCGCCGGTAGTGCCGGTCGTCGGACCCGTCGTACAGCCCAAGAAAGACTCCCTCACCGCTAGTACTCATAATAATAGCAATACTACTAATGATAGTAATAGTATGCGAATGAGTAAATCGTGTTTTGAAGTCGATTGCTGTGACAATAGCTCATCCGGTAAATGATTTTTACCATAATTAGTACTTTATACTGTATACACCATATATAGTGGACTAAACATAGTAAACACATAATCACTTAAATAGCTAGCTAGATTAAATTAAATTTAACTAGATAGCATAAAACTACTAAAATACCTAATCATAAGTTTATAACGTAATATAAATACAGTATTTAAAAACACAATTAGGTAAACGATAGCATTTTTGTTCACTATATATAGAGTACACTACTTAACAAACATTGAATGAAAACAACTAATTAATTATATAATGCATTAACAGGTGTCTCATCGGATGTGGACGGAGAGTACGGCACACAAAACCAGCCAAAAGGGGCGCAAATGTCACAAAACAATCAGCAAATAAATCGGCGAAACTCGCAAAACGTGTCCGAAAAGATCGCCGTACTTATGGCGGCCACAGCGCAGACCAGTCAGGCCGCAGCCATGGCCGCCGCCGCGTCGGCCCAATCGGCTGCCACCGCACAGCCCGTGCCTATTATGAGCTGTCAAACGGCGGGTCCGCCCACCGGAGCCGGCATTTACGGCACTCGGCGTACGGCCAGCTGTTGTGACGATAGCCACAAACAGCGGCCCAAGTGTTGGACAAACGCCGGTAGCGGCAGTCAGTCAATGATGGGCAGCGCGCCGACAGCCACCGGGCCCTCCATTAGTAGTAATTTAGTGCCAAATCTACAGCAAAAGTCTGTGAAATTTACAGCAAACTATGCGTCAAACTCGGAGCCAAAAACAAATACCACTAATAATAACGCCATTAATAGCTATCCTAATGCACAGCCACCGCATCCGCAGCAACAACACCAACAACCACTACAGCACCAGAACAAGATATACGTCACCTCACAGTCCAAAACGGGTCAACCCATACGACTACAGATCGATTCCTTGGGTAAGCAATATATTCACAGAATATATATAAATTTATATATATACAGAATATTCTGTTAACAAATTATTATTCAAAAAACACAGGTCTGGCGGCAGTGAACGAAGTGGACGTATTGGCCGAACTGGTGCCGCCACCGCCGGAGTTCGCCGCACCGCCGCCCGGACACCCGGGCGCTAATCGCGGGGCGCCGGGCAGTGGCGGTGACCCAATGCGGGCGCCGATAGCTTTAAGTCAGAGCCAGCAGTTGATGGTAAGGCAGCAACAGTTGCAACACTTACGGCAACAGCAACTCCTACAGCAACAGCGG